TGGGCTCTGAAAAGGCTACATACAGATGAGATGATTTGAAAATAAAACTGCGCTCTTCCTGTTAAAAGTCTTGAAGATACAAAACGGTTCAGAAGTTCCGAACTTTCTCCTGGTTTGAAAGCGAAAGAAAAGTCTGCATGATAAAATAGTTACATTTTCTGTACTACTGGGGTGTCATTTTAGAGTATGAACAAGAGGATGAGAAATGAGGAAGTGTTCGAGCTGTACTTTTCAAAACAGGAGTTGATTCCTGTACCTAATGAACAATGCAAGAAACAACTCGCAAGAAGAATATACAGAAACTGTGAAGGAACACTAAAAAAAATCACCCGGTTGCTAGCACGTAATAGCACGATTTATGCGGATAAACAGCCCATAATGCAGAGAGAAGTACGAGAGAAGCAGTGAATGTTCCTGTTTCTATGGTGAATTCCACTTTGGCAATATATGCTTACTTACAGATGTTTGCTTGTATCAAACCAAAGCATTTCTTACAGATTACAATTGTGTTCCTTTTTGACTTCTTTTCTTGTAGATCTACCCGAATCACCCGACATAGCCAGCAGGGACGGCTGAGGGGTGTGACGCTGAGGGAGGCCCGGAAGGAAAAAACAAGAAATCGGGCCTTCTTGGCGGTGGCCCCTCGGCTGTGGAACAACCTCCCTACCGAAATTCGGCTGGCACCCTCGCTGGGCGTTTTCAAAAGCCAGCTGAAAACTTGGCTATTCAAGCAGGCCTTCCCTTCAGTCAATTAAGTCATTCTTATTTCTTTTCTTTTGATTTTTGCCATCTTGGGACTGTTTGCCTTAAATTAATTTGTTAAAAATGTAAATCTACGATATATTATTTTATATCGTTTTGTTTTTATCTATGTAAAACTGTGTATATTTTAAATTGTTTTGATCTTGTATATTGTGAGCCGCCCAGAGTAGACTATGTCTAGATGGGCAGCATATAAATGCAATCAATCAATCAATCAATCAATCAATCAATCAATCAATCAATCAATCAATCAATCAATCAATCAATCAATAAAATAGTATGAATTTATTTTGTACTCAGTGATGCGGAGGCGAGCTTGTGCGCTTTCCTAGTGCTCCTCTATTGCCGGAGAAAGAAAAATGGGAGCCAGTAAAGTATCTGGTTTTCTTTGCGTTAGGAATGCATTGACCTCCTTCCAGTTGTAGTCTTCTTTACTGGGCTAAAAAGACAAGTAGAGGCAGAGTAAACAGGATACAGTGGTTACTGTACTGGGCTGGGATTCAGGGGATCCGGTTTCCAGTATCCACTGAGCCATAAAACGTACTGGGTGACCCAGGGCCAGGGATTCGAGCCTGATGCAAACAACTGACAGGATTCTAGCCCTACCATACACTCCAAGAATCCCCAAAACACCCAGCTTAAAAGCTGGCTACCCAACACTGGGACAGGCGGCTTCCAGCAACAAAGGCTCTTAAAAACAGCACATGTTTCCTTATGCTAATTCATATTCCTAAATTTACAATTTCTTGTAAGGCCTTTAAAATTGGTCCTCCACTTTTTCCCGTCGATCAGCTCTATGGCCGGCACACTCGGCCCTGCCTCCTTATTCATTTTTTGGGTAAAACAAGCAAAGGAACATGGAAAAGCATTAAATATATATATATCCTGAGACTATAGAGAAATTCAAGCAGAGCGCAGAAGAGTTTGCAAAACTATAAAAGGGAAAGGACGGTTAAGCTGTTGAGTTGTCAGCAGCAGATGTCACCCAAGGAGATAAAAATTAACAATTTGGAAAGCAGCTATCTGTGACTTTTTGAGGGAAAAGGCTGGTTTTTCCTCTCCGATACATGCACCCATCCAACTCTGCAGGTGGAGCGTGATGGATTCAGTACTGCCATCCTGTTCCCACGGATCCAGTTTGCAAGAAACTTGGCCGGACGTGTTTGTTAAACGAGTATCAATACGTTCCACTGATTCTAAATGAAAAAAATGTTAATAAGGCTCTGCCGTCTGGTATGCTCTGTGAGCTGTCTTGCTGCTGGACGTTATGTTTCCAACGCCATGGCGTGTTGGGACTGTGGCTGCACAGAGAAGGTCGTGAAAGAGATACTCCTTGCTGGAGAGAGATTATGCTGAGCGAAATGCGTCAGTGATTCAAGACGAGAAAATGTCCTTATTTTCTATTTAAACAACACCATCCTCTCCCCTGGGCCACGCAGGGGCTCCATGGTAAGCGCCGGGTCCAGATGTATCCCGAAGCTGCGAACCTCACTCCGTGCGGTGGGAGACACCCCCCCAAAAGAGAGGGAGTCTCCCAAACCGCAAATGGGGGGGGGGCGGCCACCCTCAAGACCTCCGTCTTGTCCGGAAAGCCTGTATCCTGCTCATCGGTGTTAACATTATATAACTTGGAATATACCATCAGTACAAAGCCTCTATCCTCTTATTGCTAGTCCCAACTGTGGCAGACTCCTTGAATCCAATCACGGAACAGTCAGTCAACACTAACGTGAATCCTGGTGATGAAATGGATCTACAATAATTGGCATTACCATCTGGATTCAGGCCCTTGTCTCTACCTGCTCATCGGTGTTAACTGATTATATAACTTGGAATATACCATCAGTACCATCAACATGTATATTACAAGCAAGACAGAGCAGATAGTTTAGGGTTTTTATAACACACCATGTTTCCCCGAAAATAAGACAGGGTCTTATATTAATTTTTGCTCCAAAAAACGCATAAGGGCTTATTTTCAGGGGATGGTTTATTTTACAGTCATATCTTCTTCTGGTTGCTGCACAATAATGGACAGCATGGTTTAACTTAACCTGGGCTTATTTTCGGAGTAGGGCTTATATTATGAGCATCCTGAAAAACCATACTAGGGCGTATTTTCAGGTTAGGTCTTATTTTGGGGGAAACAGTGTACATTATGGGATTATTTCAGATTTTGCAAGTTTTAGTCATAGCAACAGTACTTAATCACAGTAAAATAATGGCACTACATTTTTTAATTATCACTCCCTTTGACAGTAACTGGAGCAGCAAAATGTATCTTTAACAATACTATAATCGTTTTCAACCACTAATGGAATAATTACCACCGTTTCCTTGTGTTTACTCCCAAGCGTATTACATAATTTGTAATGCACCAGGAGTGATAAATTTAGTGACAGAAGGCCTCCAAACACATACAATTTGTTTGAAGTGGCACTTTTTTTGTTCCTATTGTGCTGGGACCCTGGCAGCAGAAATTGGGAAAACAAAGTCTGGTGCACCTAAAACGGATATTGGCAAAGGTTCTAACAACAGGACCCATCTTTCTCCAAAAGTTATTCCTGTGCAGCAAAAAAATTTTAATCAATTTCTTCTTACAGACACTTGCAGAGAGCCTGCGTTATGCTCAACAAACTGGGATGTGGCCCAGAATTGTGTACAAAGACACTACCACAAACGAGCCACACGGCTTTACCCATTGTAGAACCTTGATCTCAGTTCAACAGCCTGATTAAAGGATGTTGAGGTCTAATTAACCTGCAACAAATAATCCTGAGAACACAAGAGAGCCTTCTGGGACCCTTCGGGGAAAAAGGACGTTGCTGTACAATACTCTCAATTTCAGCGGGATGGGTCTGTGAAGGAAAGGACGTCCCCGATGGTTTGCACAAAGCCTTTTAGAAGGGAAGATGTGATTTAAAAAAAACATTATGATGGCTAAGACTAAGGAATATTAAATAGGAAAGAGTATCACCATACCATCTGAGTGTTACACAATCAAGGGCATTATCATCCCCTCCCGTCTGTCTAGCAGGCTCTACAGAGGAACAACAAAATCAGCACGAGAATCTTCAGGCATGCTTGGTGAGACGCACGGAGGGAATCTATTGCTACAAAAGCATCAGGACCGGAGGAGATTGTCCATCAGAATAGTGCCTCCTCTATCCAAAGGCAGTGCAAGATCTGGGGCTTCATTCTGACCTATCGGGAGCCACTGCAGCCACAACGTCCTTATCAACAAAATCGCAAGCTGGCTTTTGAGTCCATTCCCAATTTTGTGCAAATTAAAAGGGAAACAGGCTCCGGGGACCACAAATTTCGGTGATAGATCCACACAGGGCCCATGTTTCCCATGTTCTGGCCCCACTGTCAGCTATGCTGAGTGGCTGGAGTTGGCCAGAGGGCCTTCTTAGCTCTACCTAGAATGTCACTGATTCTACTTCTCCATCGAAGGCATATGCTCTCACATTGAGCTACTTTTTATTAAGTGCAAGGACACTGAAGCCCACTGTGACATGGTGAACACAATCCCATCTTACAAACTAGCAACAATAAAAATGCAGGCTACTGTACAGAAATGTAGAGCAACACACTCATTTTGTGCTCAGAGAGGAAAAGATGATCTTTCTGTCGGTGAACACAATCCCATCTTACAACCTAGCAACAATCATGTAGAGCAACACACTCATTTTTTGCTCAGAGAGGAAAAGATGATCTTTCTGTCTCAGTTCTACGACTCATGACAAAACAGCCATACAGCAGATGTTGGATCAACCTCATGGTGTTGATGTACACACAACCGGGAATCTCTACCGGTCATCAAAGAAAAGCTCCCATATTTTCTATGACTGACCGGACATTTTCAGGTGCCTGCCTGAAGCTGTTTGATTTTCAATCTGCACCTTAGTTATTTCATGTCACGCTGAAAACCACCATGGACATTTCTATATCATAAGGATGGGTAAAGGGCAGCCCTACAGATGTTGTTTAGCTACTGCTCCCACCCTTTTTGGTCATCACAAGCAATACCGACCACATCTGCTGGAATCTGCAGCTCCCCCCAACAACATCTGAAGGGTCACGCTTTGCCTACCCTCCTACATTGAAAGGTGTGCAGGAATTAAAGCAACAACAACAAAGGCAACCAAGATGGTTGGAAACGAAGGGCAGAGGGAACCAACCGACCAACCAATTTCCCCCTGAAATACAAAGCTGTTCTTCAACCAATCTCGTACCTAGAACGGCTACGCCTCCTGCTCATTCCTGGACTGTTGGTTACACGGTAGGCTGTGGGGACGCTCCTCTCTTCTCTACGCCTTTCAGGCGTGTGTACCCTTCTCCTCGGTGATCTTGAGCGAGACCTGATGGGAAGAAGATGGGTTAACACTGACATGGAAGGGTCTAGCCTTGATTTATTACCTGACATCTTAAAAGTCTTACTGTTCATTATTCACAAGTGCTTAAAAATAAATACCCAGTAGCACATATTATCCACCAGAGATATTGTCAGCTACCTGAAAATTCCTGAAACATACAAAGAGATAAAAAGACTCTTGTTTCCCAATTCCTTTGGTTCTAGATCAATTTGCATTTTAAGTTCATCATCATAAACAGTTTAAGCTCCTATAATACATCGACTCTAAGAGAAACATTCTGATCAGTTTCAACACACTGAAATTTGACATGCAAATTGGAGGGTTGAAGTTAGCCTCAATAAACAGTTTAAGCTCCTATATAATACATTGACCCTTCAAAGAGAAACATATGCTGGTCCATTTCGACACACTGAAATTTGTCATGCAAATTGGAGGGTTGAAGTTAGCCTCTTCCCTGGAAATTTAAGTTAGCCTGTTCCAAAAAGGGTCAACTGTAATTCGCAAGAGAGGCAGGACAACATAAAACTGCTGAATGAAGATGGAGGAAGGCCATAGCAGTTTGGGCGAGTGGGAGGGGATGGCAAGGAAAAGAGGAATCCTTTGAGCTGAACTGTTTATTTGGAACTGACAATATTCCAAGGTATGCTTGTGAAGCTGAAGGACACGTTAATTTGAGCCCAACCTTCAGACTGCTAATGGAGACTTAACAGCCCATAACCAGAATCTATCTCTTGTACAAAGACTGTGTAGATGAACAAAATGTGCACAAGAAAAAAAAATAGATTATTTAAAGAATTCAAAGAACTGGCTTTGTTTATACAAACATGTAAGGTACATAAATCCTCCAAGGTGGAGTAGATGTAACAACTGGCTGTGATTGGGGGTGAAGAACTTGACAAAAATTTCCATTTTATTAGGATTCTTCATGAAGTTGACTTGAATCTTTTCACAACAATATGACTTAGTCATTCTGGCTGTGCTTTAAATTTTACCCTTGGATTCATTGATGTCAACTGCTCTGCTCACTGAATATCATATCAAGCCTTGTTGTCCTGAAGCTCCTAGAATGCTATTTCCTGCAGGACATTTCTCCTTCTCTTGTTGTCAAAGATACAAAACTTGGCACTGCGACAACTGCCTAAAACCCTGTGAAATGTTAATTCAGCTCGGGAAAGGAGGAATGCGACTTCATAAAGGGGCGTTCCAATGCCAGGGCTGTGCCGAGGCCTTTGCTTCGCCTTGTCTATCACTTCTAAGAGAGGGACGGATGCGTTACAGCTTGGACGCGCGGCTTAGTCTTCAACCTTTAGGCACAGATGCTACTTCGAAGTACACTCGAGCATCCTTCAGAAGTAACAAGAGAAACTACTGCCTCCCTGGCACAGACAAGAAGCGGGTGAATCTCGATACAAACTCTCTCGCAGCTGGGTGGAGGCAAGAAAAATCAAGCTTCCCTAGAAGGAATGGGTACATGTGTAGCTACTGCAAGGCTCTGTGAGTGCATCTTCCCACGGAAATCTCACCTTCATCGGATTTTTTGAAAACCAGGTAAAGACAATAAAATGAGAAACAACAACAACAATAGATTAAAGAGGATGGAGGTCAATCATCTTGACTCTTTACTAGGATTTCCCTCTAAAGAGATCTGGCTTTATGTTATAGAGGCTGCCTGAGTTTTCCCGCACTCTGCTGCCATTTTTTTTAATGGGCTCCTTTGGAAAAGTTAAGGAGTATGCCTAAAAGGGACGTGGTGGCACTGCGGGTTAAACCGCAGAGGCCTCTGTGCTGAAAGGTCAGAAGACCAGCTGACCAGCCGTCGTAAGATCCAATCCATGTGACGGAGTGAGCTCCTGTCACTTGTCCCAGCTCCTGCCAACCTAGCCGTTCGAAAGCATGTAAAAATGCGAGTAGATAAATAGGTACCACCTCGGTGAGAAGGTAACGGCATTCCGTGTCTAGTCGCGCTGGCCACGTGACCACGGAAACTGTCTTCAGACAGCCACTGGCTCTGACACAACTGGACTAAATGTCAAGGGGAACCTTTACCTTTATCTATACCTAGAAAAGGCTCAACTCCTTTTCTGAATTTTACAGGAAGCATGACTAGGACTGTGTAAACCTTAAACAGATTCAAACAATACAGAAAAAAGATTGGCTTAAAATATTTCTGAGAGGTGTGTGTCGCGTGCTCATTGTTTTCAACTTTTAAATACTGTCTTTCATTGTTGTAAGCTGCCCTGAGTCCTTTTCAAGGAGAAAGGCGGGGTAAAAATATTTTAAATAAATAATAAACAGATTCATAGAGCACCTTCTAATATATTTTCAGAAATTTTTTTTCAAATACACAATTATTTTCAATGAAGAACAGTTGCTGCTATTAGCTTGGATATCATAAAAGACTTACTTTTTTTTAATATGATAAAACCTGTGGAGTGTCACTTGAGACCGTTATGTGATCCTCAAAAGGCCTTCCGCTAAACCCTGTTAATGCCCATCATACTGCTAAACAGGCTCAGTTTAAACCCATTATGCTGAAAGATTTGGCACACTATCTTGCATCTTAGGGAATGGTATCTGTTATTAGCTTGGAAATGATAAAAGCGTGCTGCTTAAAAGGCAAACATCTCTAAGGAAAACACATGGATTATGAAGTGACACAACACACTTTTTTGTCAAGTCAACATAAGAGCAAGCCATCTTAAAACCAAGCCTTGTTTCGAAACTGAGACAATGGTACATTACGTTTACCTATGCCGATCAAGCTAATCTTGAAAAGCTAAATCACTTAATGATGCCTTTCTCTGCTAATTACTACACATAGTTCATTAGCTGGGTAAACAGAGCAGGTGGCTTAGTGGCTAATCTATTATTGAAGTACATAAGGAAAGTGATTAATGTGAAATCAGACTTCCGGTTCTAGAGAAATGCAGTCTTGCAAACTCGCTAAGGCCTCCTCATTCATTCATTTGAAGCTACCTCGATGTATACAAGATGAGCACACTCCACCTAATTTGTCACACATGCAGAAACCTTTATCTCTTATGAAGCAATGTCATTTGCTCCAGCCTTCACCATGCAAACGGGGCTTTCGGAATGGGTCACAACTCTTAACTGAAGAATCATGCCCTCTCTCCTGGTGTAAACAGTTACTTCTGCAATCTCCCGCTCATGAACCCACAGCACCAGCCAAGCACCCAAAAGATTTCGCAGAGAACGCAGAATTCACACTTGCCCGTATTTCCAGATACTCAACTATGAACCTTGGAAGTTCTCATCTGAGAATCTCTGAGCTCTTGGGCACCTTGTTTTATGCAAACGTTTAGTCAACACGAATTCAGTTTAATAAACAGGGTCCTAAATTAGCCTTCCACACTCCACAGGAAGAAAAAACACAGCTCTTTCATGGGGGAATGCTCCTGAATTTAGGACGTTGATAAGAAAAACAACAACTCACGCTTCTGTTGCAAAGATGCAATGATTAGAGAATGGGATTCCTTGTGTTGCTTTAACACAGTGGTTCTTAACCTTTTTGAAAGAAACGCCCCCTTGAGCCATTTAGGAAGTTATCATCGCCCCCCTCCCTGAGGTGATATCTTATTTGTTTGTTTGTTTGTTTGTTTATTTAAGACACTTAAATGCAATGACCCCTGAAAACAAAATTCAATTCCAAGAAAATCAAATGCCCCCAAAAAGTAACATTTAATGATTTAGTTGCAAGCGAATTTTAAGACAGGAGACTTTAATGCAAACGGGGCTTTCGGAATGGGTCACAACTCTTAACTGAAGAATCATGCCCTCTCTCCTGGTGTAAACAGTTACTTCTGCAATCTCCCGCTCATGAACCCACAGCACCAGCCAAGCACCCAAAAGATTTCGCAGAGAACGCAGAATTCACACTTGCCCGTATTTCCAGATACTCAACTATGAACCTTGGAAGTTCTCATCTGAGAATCTCTGAGCTCTTGGGCACCTTGTTTTATGCAAACGTTTAGTCAACACGAATTCAGTTTAATAAACAGGGTCCTAAATTAGCCTTCCACACTCCACAGGAAGAAAAAAACAGCTCTATCATGGGGGAATGCTCCTAAATTTAGGACGATAAGAAAAACAACTCACGCTTCTGTTGCAAAGGTGCAATGATTAGACAATGGGATTCCTTGTGTTGCTTTAACACACAAACATATTGAAGCGTAGAAGCTGTGTATCGTGGCTGAACTGAACATATCAGACCTTTTAGATTCAAGTCACACAGAAGAAGGTTTTCTGGGGTGTTCTCTCTCCTCCAAGCACTGGCCTGTCTCTCCTTAACTATTCCTTAGCTACATTTAGGATGCTATAGCTCTGATCTCAGGCAAGGCACAGAAGTAATTTCAGGAACCACACTGTGGTGGAGCCACACTAACATTAATGGGAATACACAAGGATTTGACAGGAGCCCTCTTATGAAGCAATGTCATTTGCTCCAAACATCATCATACTCCCACACAGCATTTATTTCTGATAAGAAAACAGCCTCTGCTGTTTGGTCTGGCACTTCAGCAAAGAGAAAAGAAAGGTAAGAGCACATTAGAATTATATCCTTCTGAACCTATCATTTTTTTTTGTAATGACACAAATGGTGTCATTTATTCTAACATGTTTTAAATTAATCTGCTCCTTTTCAATCATCATATTTACCTCCAACTTCTCTATCTTCTAGAAGAAACGTCAGATTTTTAAAAAACAAAGTGAATTTTTAATTTCCTGTCTTGTTTCAATTCTTCCCACTAACCCCATCCTACCTCAAATAGTTCTGATTAAAAAATAAATCAAAACTGCAAAACAATGCTATGCAGTATTCTTTTTTTTAAAAAGTCTGACAAAAGATAACGCTGAAGAGGTCTTGCATGATGAAAATAAGCTCACGCTACAGTACTTCAGTCATCCATACAACATTTTTGAAAAATATGTCTATATTATAAATTCCATTTATTAGTTTGGCAGTTTAAAGAGAGGGATGGGATACAGTGGTTCACCTTGAGCTGCACATTTGTAAGGCAGTGGTTCCCAACTTTGGGTCCCCAGATGTTCTTGGACTAAAACTCCCAGAAACCTGTGCTGGCCAGGATTTTTGGGAGTTGTAGTCCAAGAACATCTGGGGACCCAAGGTTGAAAACCACTGCTTTAGAGACACTTAACTCACGGCTATGCTTCCCTGGGCCTCAGAAATGAGAACCTATTTCTATGTCATTGGTTCCTAATCTTGGTTCTTCAGATGTTCTTGGACTAAGACTCCCAGAAGCCTTCACCATAAGCTGCGCTAGCCAAGGTTTTCTGAAAATTATACTGCGCAGAAAACATTTATCTCTATGTCATTGGTTCCTAATCTTGGTTCCTCAGATGTTCTTGGACATCTTGGAAGCCTTCACCATGAGCTCTGCTGGCCAGGATTTCTGAAAATTATACTGCGCAGAAAACATCTGGGGACCCAAGGCTGGGAACAACTGTTCTGAGGTCATGGTTCATTTTATAGTAGGCCAACTGCAAAACGGCACAGCTTGCTTCTAACACGGAGTAAATTCCCACGACAGGCTGCAGAGCATTTCTGTAGTGAGCGCACAACACTCAAAGCATGTCCCATTTGCTTCAGATGCTTCAGTTTTAGGTTATGTAGCACTCTAATATGGACTTCATAAAAATGTCCCCACGCAACAGACCCCAGAGGGGAAAAAAAGGAGGACAGCAGCCATCCATAAAACCCACCTGGAATGCCGGACAGTTCTGTAAGCCGTGGGAAGCGAATGTTTGGCTTTTGAATGGGATCGAGACCGGGATTTGGACGACGAGTGGTACTTTGGAGGAGGCGACCGCGATCTCGACCTGGATCTCTTCTTGTGCTTCTTCTTCTTCCTTTCCTTTTCTTCTTCTCTGGGGAGATCTCTACTTCTGCTGGAAGGCCTTTCAGGCAGCTTGGTCTCCAAGGCTGGCAATGGCCTGAGGCCGGACAACAGAGTGCAGGGCACGTTGCTGACCGTCTGAAAGGGAAAAAAATGAGCCAGGTGTGAGCCTTCTGTTCATGAGACAGGAAGTCTTCAAGTTATACCAAGGAAGTCCTGGTTAAAAATTCAGGGGACCCTCAAGAATCATACGACAGCCTCCAGCAAGTTGTTGGCCTCAGTTTTCCGCCTGTTAAAAGGGCTAATTAAGGATGGAAAGAGCTGCTTCCTGTAGGGGGCTGTGATTTGGCAAAAATCCCGTCTGGCAGCAGGTTCTTAGGAACCTGCTCTGTTGGCCAAGATCTACTACAAAAAGAGCCAAAAGAGGGGTAAGGCCAAGGGAGACGCTGAGTTCTACCTGATCCAAAGCTCCCTCAGCACAGGGACAAAGCCACAATATGGGCAGAAAGTTAGGCCCGGGTGAGGGAAGCCCTAAAGAATTCCCAACATCTCTAAGTGGACAGGCGTTTGGATTCAACACAACTTCAGCAGCTCCTATTACCTCCGCTGGCCCTTGGCCATCTTGACTAGCTAGGGTTGCAATGACAGTTATCCCAAAAGTTTTGCAACGCATAGAATACTGCAGTCCCACCTTTGAAAAGCAGGCTTCAACAGTTTGGCCCACCCCTATGAAGCATATCGAAGATGATCTTGGTAACAGCAATTGCAACCCAGTACATTTAGTTTACCCTTTACAACCCAGGAGATTAACAATATCCTAAGAGTGAATGCTTATGCTGGAACTGCATATACAATGGATACCAATGAGAAACCCCGAACCTGCAAGGGGGGGTGTCATGCTCTCATCTGAGGTACATACAGTATAGCAGTCAAGTACCTTGTTAGAAAACAGGCCCCACTAATATTTCTTTTAATACATATATTTCTATTAAAACCATCAGTCTCCAAGGGTCTTCACTGCTGAGGACCACATTTAGAAATCCTCTGCATCATAAGGTCAAAAACCATTGCCCCAGTCGGTCCACACGCACCTGTATGTCTTGGGGGAAAATGGAAGCTGCTTTACACAAGGAAGCAGCCAGGTTTTATACGGGAAGATGCAGCATCAATTTTGAATGCTCGACTTCCATGCAAGCGCTGCAGGAAGAATAACTGGGGTGCTGTGAAACAGTACAGTACTTTCCGAAACTCAAAGTTGACCTTTAATCCTGTCCTACAAGACAAGAACAATCTTTTTTTTAACTTATGTGCTTCTCTTTTTCTCTGATTACAGCGAAAGGACCTTAACAGCTGTGCAAAACAGGGACTCTTAAGAGTAAGCTACATCTGCTGACATTTTTGGACGCAACTAAATTAACTAACCCCCCTTTGCATTTTGACACTTCTACGTTCTTTCTCTCGCTCTTTTAAGGGAGGCACTCAAACCCATAATTATTCATCTACAAAAGCCATCTAAGGCTTAGGAAGCTTGGATAATCTTGCTCAGAGCAACCGCTGACCCAATAAAACAGAACGATCTCCACTTTATATGCTGGTTTTGATGAGGCACCTTCTCACATCCAGCAGGACACCGGATGACATTTACATTTCTGCAACCGTTGCATAAATATTCAGCAGCGATTCCCCAGTCACATAAAAGTTTTCATCTTCCAACGCCGAAGCCACATCAATTCCCACCCCCCGACTTCAAAATTAGGTTTTAAGATACCGTTCACTTCCAGGCATTCCACACTGATGGCAGTGTAAAATTTAGTACATTTTGGCTTGCTTGGAAAATAAACTGCAAGACTGGGTTGGGCAGTTCATACTATTTGTAGTAATTTCACAACTGCTGAAGAACAATACAAAGTCGATGCAGCTTTTGATAAAGTCGCCTGTATCTGAAGCTGGTTTACTCTGAGTAAGACCAATGGGGAACCTAGCCCACCATTGTCTGTACTGACTGGAAACAGCTCTTCAAGGCCTCAATCTCTACTTTGGTCTAACAACTACACTTAGGTCTTGGATTTCAGGTATCCTCTTCCAGTCTAAGTTAAAGATGCCTCAGATTGAACCTACTTGTGCAAGGCATATGCTTTACCAGTGAGCTGTGATGCTCTACTTCTGTCTCCAGATCCATGAAGTTCCGTAAACCCAACTAAGTTAAACTCAAGCATGCTACTATTTTGCATCTGCATGACTGCCACAATACCCACCAATATCGAACGATGTGTGCTGTTGACATAGCTATGAAACAGATTCAAGATCCCCAAAAGATAAATTTCTATTCTTTTAACAAAGGGAGTCTGCTCATCATGCTTTTGCACCGAAGTAACTGGTCTGAAGGCCACTTCACAAGTTATGACATGTCATGAATTATACTGTGCCAAAGCCTGGTTTACAAATGAGGAGAAGCTCAGGGTATCTACCAACATTTCCCTGTCAAGTATATCTGTATGATTAAAAAAAGCAAAGCCCAAAATAAAGAAATAAGTAAAAGCAAACATCTTGTGGCACCTTAAGGACTAACTTCACATTATATTTTAATGTGAGCTTTTGTGGGCATGTCCTTTCTTCAGACCTACGGAGAAAATATAAAAGGTAACTGATGCATTTTTAACTGCGCACTTAGAACAAATCAAAGGGGGAAAACTACGATGCTTCCCCACGCTACTGTCAATGAGAGACAGCATGGTGCTTCAAAAAGCTTGGCCATTTTGTGATTTGGTGCATTCAAGACCTGCCATCTCAGCCCACTCCCTAAACATCCCATTTCAGGTACCAGAGGAGACTCAGGTAACCTGCTAGAAATGATACTCCATCAGCCCTGCTTCTGCACGATAACAGCAACAACAGCAACGCTCTTAGAACTGCAGAGCTGGAAAGGGACTGTATGGATCAGCCAGCCCCTATCAAGGAGAGACAGTGGGGAATCGAACTAAAAATCTCTGGCTCCATAGCCAGATGCCCACATCACTGAGCTATATATATAGGGGAGAGTTTTAGCACAACTTGAGTAAGACCCTAATAAAACTAAGAAGAAAGCCAATTAGAAACAGCTTAACTAGTTTTCCTCAATCCTCCTTTGACTGGGATTATGTCAAGGGAATTCATCTAAGAAGAAATTAGAAACAGCTTAACTAGTTTTCCTCAATCCTCCTTTGACTGGGATTATGTCAAGGGAATTCATAAAGTGAAAATAAATTTCACATGTTAAGGAGATGCCGGAATCTCAACGACCAGTGGCTTTTAAACATATATGTTTATTTTTAAACAAACCTACACTCCTATAGTAAATTACCCTATAGTCATTTTCTTTCAAGCACCATCATGGCCTTCCTGCATTACACAAATTAAACATCTCTTGTGATGACTGTTTCACTGGAAGCTTCGGGCAAAGAGCATAAGCAAAAATGGCAGACAGATATGTGAAGACTAGAAAATTAGATCTGAGAGGCATTGAAAAGAACATGAGATGCTGACAAGAGCCACATCAAGAATTAAGACTGTACTTTCGGAGGATAATTCCATCAGATGGAATTACTGCTCTCAATATAATGTTGATATTCTTGCTGGATTTTTATTTTGCACTTGTATTTACATTTATATACTAAGGCATGTTTTAATGATATGTGCTGGCTGAACAGCTCCGTGGTTTAGATATCTGTCTGCGCAACCAGAGGTTGGGAGTTCGATTCCCCCACTGTGCCTCCTGGGAGTAGAGCCAGCCTGTGTGGCCTTGGGCAAGCTGAACAGTCCCAGGGCACCCCCAGAAGAAAGGAATGTGAGCGCTCTATCCAGGAAAGAGTTGCCTTATATCAATATTGACTTGACAGCACACAATTATTATCATTATTCTAAGGGCACGCATTACAGCTAAATTATTAGAACTAAGCAGTTTGGATATGATTACTTCCTGGAAGGGTTTCTAGCAACCTCATCTAAACTGCCTTGATGGACATGAAGGTTTACTGAATACATATTGTTAACTCTTATTTTTATTTTTTACTTGTAAAAGGCAGAGAGGTACAATTTCATACTTGGAATCTGATTTTCTGGCATACTTGCCCCAAAGCATCACTGTTACAGATATATTTTAAAAGTAAATCTTGGACTAGTTTTTTTCCCAGCAAATTCACCAGAAATCAAGTCCAAGTACACAGGAATGTCACGATTTGTTTCATATTAGTGGTAATATATAATCAATGGAGATTTTGTCTGATTACCTGCAGCAGGGCAATAGTTTCTATGTTGATAGCTCAGTGGTTTAGGTCTCTGGCTACAGAGCTAGAGGTTGGGAGTTTGATTCCCCGCTGTGCCTCCTGTGAGTAGAACAAGCCTGTGTAGCCTTGGGCAAGCTGCACAGTCCCAAGACAGCACGCAGAAGAAGGGAATGGGAAAGCACTTCTGAGAATTCTCTTCCTAGAAAACCCTGAAAAGGGTCATCGTAAGTCGGAATTGACTTGACAGTGCTTTATTATTATACATCCCGTACAAAATAATTTTTTAAAAAAAGAATCCTTATTTTTTTCCTCTTCCAGTTGCACTATGCAAAGTTGTACAACAGAAGTCCAGCCAGTATTTTTCAGGCTAACATCGACAAGAACAAGAAGTCTTACATGATTCTGAAAAATATCAAGTTATGTTTTATGTAAAACTGCTGTGGACTGCTGTCCACTTCTTTGGATGTGTGGACTCTGCCTTATCCGAAAAGCTTATGCCAAGTAAGACTGGTTTGTTTTTCAACTAGCCAAGACGACTGGACAAAAGGTTGGTGGACTGCCTGACAACAGATTAGAAAATCTATACCAGCAACACACATGAAAACATTTCCATGACATTTTGCTGACTTCCTTTTCACTCCAAACTTCCTACGACTGTCAAGATCACCTCACACCAGATAAGCCGTGTTTATTACTCCAACTGGAATTCCTTCAGGGGAAAACGGAAATTTCTGCTGCTGCTGAGCCTTCAGCTTTGCATGACCTCCGAGGTATCAGATCAATAAGAAATGCTGCTCCATGAAGTTGAATGAGTACATGGCAATTGCAAGATGCATCAAACACTTCTAATTTTAGCTGCCATCTAAGGGGGCTGTT